GAGGGGGTGGGGACATTGTGTAATGATTTACATTAGACTTGATCCCTTTTACCGTACGCCCGGAAAATCCGATATCACACAAATTTTTTAAATAAATCCCCTTTTCTTTGGCCCCCTTTTTTTTGGGTAAAGGGGGGGGAAGGGGTGGGTGAGTGGGGTCTATGATGATTTCTTTTAAAAATTTGACCCAGGAACCCCACACTGACATGCCCATAAACGAAGTACACAAATTTCATCATATCTGGAAGAGTTCCGGATCAAACCGGGGTTACGGTTTCTATAACTAGGTCAGGGTGAGGGTCAAAAAGAGGGGCTAAATGTTTTTTTCCCCAGGTGTACTCAAAACAGTTTTAAAAAAAACCGGGGTGTGTGGGTTGTTGGGTTTTTTGTACACTTTTTTCACCTGCAGTTTACAGGTAGGTTACATTGGTGGTATTGGGTTTGTGTGGGGGGTGTGTTTTTTTTCCCGATGAAAAGTTTTTGTTCGTTTTCCCTGGTTTGCACCCGAGTTACCATCTCTAATCCCAAGTTAGAAGTGAGACAAGGCGATGAGTTACCTCTACATCCCAAGGTAGAAGTGAGTGAGACAAGGCGGTGAGTTGAGACAGGCGGTGAGTTACCTCTACATCCCAAGGTAGAAGTGAGACAAGGCGGTGAGTTACCTCTACATCCCAAGGTAGAAGTGAGACAAGGCGATGAGTTACCTCTACATCCCAAAGTAGATGTGGGACAAGACGATGAGTTACCTCTACAACACAGGGTAGAAGTGAGACAAGGCGATGAGTTACCTCTACATCCCAAGGTAGAAGTGAGACAAGGCGGTGAGTTACCTCTACATCCCAAGGTAGAAGTGAGACAAGGCGGTGAGTTACCTCTACATCCCATGCCAGAAGAAGAACAAGTCGGTGAGTTACCTCTACAACACAGGGTAGAAATGGGACAAAGCGTTAAGATACCGATAAATACCAAGGTAGTTGTGGGACCAGGCGGTGACTTACCTCTACAAGGTAGAAGTGGGAAAAGGCGTTGAAGTACCTCTACATCCTAAGGTAATTGTGGGACCAGGCGGTGAGTTACCTCTATATCCAAGGGCAGAAATGGGGCAAGATGGTGAGTTACCTTTATATCCCAGTGCAGAAATGGGGCAAGATGGTGAGTGACTTCAACATGCCGGAAGAAGACTGGGTGGTACATCTACACCCCATGGCAGAAGTGGAATAATGGAACAAGACGGAGAGGTATAAATAAATCCCAGAATAGAAGTGGAGGGACTTCATCAGTTTGAGAGTAACCACACTAGCCTTCCGCTTCCCCAGTCTCCCTAAAGGTGATGAAGACGGTGGTTGTAGCTGGTGATAATGATGCAGTGCTGGCTATGAGGATTGTGGTGGTAGTTGACGTTGATTGTAATGATGGAATATAGATAATTATAATAGTGTTGGTGATATTTAATAAATCAGCTTTTAATGTTGAGAAATTGATGTTTACGTTATTCTCCATACAGATTGCTGTCAGAGAAAATGGCGGAAGTTTTCGTTGGTAAATGGAGACCCGACCGTAGCTCCTACACAGGCGCGGAAGAATACTTTGCTGCGTGTAAGTTATATGTATGTATGTATGTATGTATGTATGTATGTATGTATGTATGTATGTATGTATGTATGTATGTATGTATGTATGTATGTATGTATGTATGTATGTATGTATGTATGTATGTATGTATGTATGTATGTATGTATGCATGCATGCATGCATGCATGCATGCATGCATGCATGCATGCATGCATGCCTGCCTGCCTGCCTGCCTGCCTGCCTGCCTGCCTGCCTGCCTGCCTGCCTGCCTGCCTGTCTGTCTGTCTGTCTGTCTGTCTGTCTGTCTGTCTGTCTGTCTGTCTGTCTGTCTGTCTGTCTGTCTGTCTGTCTGTCTGTCCATTTTCTATCTTTCTCTCTGTTTCAGTCTCTCTAGTTGTTTCCTTGCTCTCATCCACACACACACACACACACATATCAGCATTGCCGTGATCCTAATCATCATCATCCACGTCCATTGTTGCATTTAAACGTCGTGGAGAGGAAGAGTTTGCGATACATTGCCTAATGGGTCATCCTTATCTATAATACACGGTTACATTGTACGTGTTGCTGTTGAAGGTTTACTAACCGCACCGTTACTTGTGTCGTTCTTGCTCGTGTTTTATTGGGAAACTGACTAGCTATTCTTCTCATCTGGGTGGATTTTTATCAACAGAACAATCATCATCCGAAAAACAACGCAGAGGCCAACCTCCGCGAAGGTGGATACAGGACATTGAAAATATATTGGCTTTGAAAGCACATAGGGCTGGAGAAATTGCTAGAGAAAGGGAGACTTTCAAGCGTGCCGTGAAGAAGGCCACGTTCTGTTAAAGACATGCTGACTGACTGATTGATGCACAGCTGCGCAGGCGATGAAGTCCATACACAAACACCACCTCCCCTATGTCTGTATCATGCTTCAGGTCGGAGTGTCTTTCCTTGGGTGGACTATGATTGTTTACCATCACCGTGGCAGAGTTTTGGGGATGGTCTGGCGATCTTGAAGCCTGCACATGCTGCTGCTGCTGCTGCCTCGGCAAGCTTCGCCTGAGACTAGCCCATGGTCAGTCCTCCATTTGTTGACTCCATGGTGTCTCCCCTGGATGTCCGGATTGTCTGACATGGATTACAAGAGTGACTTTGGGGGAAGGTCAGTATAAACACCAACCCTGACAAATGAGTGCCAAGGAATGGCGCAGATCTATTGTAAACAGCAAATAAAAATGCATCCTGGACGAGCGCATGTGATAATAAAAGACGACGCACGTAATCGCCATCTTGATCTGTCGGTGGTCTTAGAGTTATTTTCCTTTATTCTGTTGCGTGTGTTCTCTAACGCTTTATATAACATGATATGTCTTTAATGTGCTCACCGTTGTCATTGTTTGTTCCTTATCAGTAGGACAACCAGACATGTTGAAAGAGTTTGAGGCAGCATCAGAAACTGAGGTGACCTTGAACGGAAACGTCCTGACATTCGTGACACAGATCGAGGGCAAGGGCCCCAGAACTGACGTGGCCCGTATTGGGGAGACGGATGAGGTGACTCTACCCAACAGTCCACCCATGCAGGTGAGTAGCCAGTCCACCCATGCAGGCGGGTAGCCACAGTCCACCCATGCAAGTGAGTAGCCACAGTCCAGCCATACAGTTGGCTAGCTGGATGCACAGATGTTGGACGACAGGTGGTTATACGCCTAGACCAGGTTCATACTGGTCAAGACCTGCCTACGCTTCTTTGTGGTCATTGTAGGAACAGGCCCAGAACTACAGACCTGGCCAGCATGGCTCCCAACTACAGACCTGGCTAGCTAGCTCCCAACTACAGACCTGGCTAGCTAGCTCCCAACTACAGACCTGGCTAGCATAGCTCCCAAATATAGACCTGGCCAGCATAGCTCCCAACTACAGACCAGGCTAGCATATCTCCCAACTACAGACCTGGCTAGCATAGCTCCCAAATATAGACCTGGCCAGCATAGCTCCCAACTACAGACCTGGCTAGCTAGCTCCCAACTACAGACCTGGCTAGCATAGCTCCCAACTACAGACCTGACTAGCATAGCTCCCAACTACAGACCTGGCTAGCATAGACCCCAACTACAGACCTGGCTAGCATAGCTCCCAACTACAGACCTGGCTAGCATAGCTCCCAACTACAGACCTGGCTAGCATAGCTCCCAACTACAGACCTGTCTAGCATATCTCCCAACTACAGACCTGGCTAGCATAGCTCCCAACTACAGACCTGGCTAGCATATCTCCCAACTACAGACCTGGCTAGCATAGCTCCCAACTACAGACCTGGCTAGCATAGACCCCAACTACAGACCTGGCTAGCATAGCTCCCAACTACAGACCAGGCTCGCATAGCTCCCAACTACAGACCTGGCTAGCATAGACCCTAACTACAGACCTGGCTAGCATAGCTCCCAACTACACTCCTGGCTAGCATAGCTCCCAACTACAGACCTGGCTAGCATAGCTCCCAACTACAGACCTGGCTAGCATATCTCCCAACTACAGACCTGTCTAGCATAGACCCCAACTACAGACCAGGCTAGCATAGTTCCCAACCACAGACCTGGCTAGCATAGCTCCCAACTACAGACCTGTCTAGCATAGACCCCAACTACAGACCAGGCTAGCATAGCTCCCAACTACACTCCTGGCTAGCATAGCTCGTAACTACAGACCAGGCTAGCATAGACAGGGTCGATGCGTCTTTCGAAGCTGTGGTGCATCTGTCTGCAAGGCTTCTTCTTCCACTTTCATTCGCTTGAAATTTATCATCTATATCTGCAATGTTGTCTCTAGTATGAGCTTCACTGTTTGTTGTAATTCACTCAGCAACTCCTAAAGTTTCCCTTTCCACCGATGTTTCTCTTGGCGAGAAGTTTTGCCTTGATATGTTGTTTTTGGGACAGTCTTTGTGGATTTGATCTGTCGTCTTTTGTGTCACCTGAGTTACGAATAAGTAGTCTTCACGCATTTAAACCAAATCTGTAAAAGGCAACAAGACCAAAGCCCAGAAGTGGACGAACAACCAAGACTTTTCACCTGAATTTACAGCCAGTGAATGGGGGAGAAGAGGAAGGAGAGGCTAGTAACAATAGCCCACACTCTTGCACTTGAGTAGAGAACATCCATAGAAAACAGTTACTGCTGCTGGTCAGTCCATAGTGGGCTGGTAACTTACCACGCCCACTTCTCGCACTTACTGTAGCAGACTATGGTAGAACGGGGGGGGGGGGGGGGGGGGGGGGGGGTGCGGGTTCAAACAGCGAAACACCAATCAGGTGTCTCCACGATGGAAGTTCGCTGCAGATTGCAATTAGCAGCTGCAATAAAAAACAGCTACGATTAAACTGACATAATTCAAAAACAGAAAGAAAGAAAGAAAGAAAGAAAGAAAGAAAGAAAGAAAAAGAAAAAGAAAGAAAGAAAGAAAGAAAGAAAGAAAGAAAGAAAGAAAGAAAGAAGAAAGAAAGAAAGAAAAGAAAGAAAGAAAGAAAGAAAGAAGAGAAGAAAGAAAGAAAGAAAGAAAAAGAAAGAAAAAAAGAAAAGAAAGAAAGAAAGAAAGAAGAAAGAAAGAAAGAAAAAGAAAGAAAGAAAAGAAAGAAAGAGAAAGAAAGAAAGAAAGAAAGAAAGAAAGAAAAGAAAGAAAGAAAGAAAGAAAAAGAAAGAAAGAAAGAAAGAAAGAATGAATGAAAAAAAGAAGAATGAATGAAAGAAAGAAAGAAAGAAAGAAAGAAAGAAAAGAAAGAAAGAAGAAGAAAGAAAGAAAGAAAGAAAAGAAAAGAAAGAAAAGAAAGAAAGAAAAAAGAAAGAAAGAAAGAAAGAAAAGAAAGAAAAGAAAGAAAGAAAGAAAGAAAGAAAGAAAAGAAAGAAAGAAAAGAAAGAACGAAGAAAGAAAGAAAAGAAAGAAGAAAAAGAAAGAAAGAAAAAAAAAAAGAAAAAAAGAAAGAGAAAAGAATTACTGAAAGAAAGAAAAAAAGGAAAAAAGAAAGAAAGAAAGAAAGAAAAAAGAAAGAAAAAGAAAAGAAAAGAAAGAAAGAAAGAAAGAAAGAAAGAAAGAAAGAAAGAAAGAAGAAAGAAAGAAAAGAAAGAAAGAAAGAAAGAAAGAAAGAAAGAAAGAAAGAAAGAAAAAGAAAGAAAGAAAGAAAAGAAAGAAAGAAAAAAGAAAGAAAGAAAGAAAGAAAGAAAAAGAAAGAATAAAAGAAAGAAAAGAAAAGAAAAAGAAAGAAAGAAAGAAAAGAAAGAAAGAAAGACAGAAAGAAAGAAAGATAGAAGGAAAGAAATAAATGAAAAAAGAATGAAAGAAAAGAAAGAGAAAGAAAGAAAGAAAGAAAGAAAGAAAGAAAAGAAAGAAAGAAAGAAAGAAAGAAAGAAAGAAAGAAAGAAAAGAAAGAAAGAAAAGAAAGAAAAAGAAAGAAAGAAAGAGAAAGAAAGAAAAAAGAAAGAAAGAAAAGAAAGAAAAAGAAAGAAAAAAAAGAAAGAAGAGAGAAAAGAATTACTGAAAGAAAGAAAAAAGAAGGAAAGAAAGAAAGAAAGAAAGAAAGAAAAGATAAAAGAAAAAGAAAGAAAGAAAAAGAACAGAAAGAAAGAAAGAAAGAAAAAAAAGAAAGAAAAAGAAAGAAAGAAAGAAAGAAAGAAAAGAAAGAAAGAAAAAGAAAAAAAAAGAAAGAAGAAAGAAAGAAAGAAAGAAAGAAATGAAGAAAGAAAGAAAGAAAGAAAGAAAGAAAGAAAGAAAGAAAGAAAGAAAGAAAGAAAGAAAGGAAAGCAACTGTTCCCTAAATTCGGTATGTGTGTGTATGTGTGTGTGTCAAACACTTTCTCACACTTTACTCTCCTCGCACTCTTGTTTCACTCTATCCTTCTTCCTCCCCACTCTCCGTATCGTTTTGCAGTTTGAACACAAAATCGCCTGATCAATAGTGTTACCCACTGTGACATGGTGTTACCGTTATCTGTTTATTACTTTGGAAAAAAAAAAACATTCCCAATCATTTCATATAGATCATTTGCTCAAATGTAAGTGGTTTTTTCTCTCCTCTTCCCATACGCATGCGGACCCACACTGTGTACACCCCCGTCCGTCCTGTGACAACGGCGTAGGCGAAGACGAGGCTGGAGGGCGACCGGCTGGTCTCTGACCTCTACATCGCTGACAATCACATCATGACGTTTGTTCGTTATGTCAAGGGCAACGAACTCTTCCAAGTAAGTGCCACAACGTTCACTAGTTTCTTCTAGTGCTACACACGTCATACACGAGGCCAGCCATTGAACTTGGGAATACGAGAAGTGAAGTCTGTCTGTATGTGTATCTGTGTGTGTGTGTGTATTTGTCTGTTTGTTTGTTTGTATCTGACTGAATGTGTGTTTGTATGTATGTGTGTCTGTGTGTGTCGGTATGTGTGTATGTTTGTGTCTGTATTTATATTTGTCTGTGTGTGTCTGTGTGTACGCGTGTATTTGTGTGTCTGTCTGTAAGTGCGTCTGTGTGTGTCTGTCGGTATGACTGTTTCTGTCTGTTTGTATGTGTATCTGTGGGTGTCTATATGAAAGTGTGTCTTAGAATGTCTGTATGTGTGTCCGTCTGCATGAGTCTGTGTCTGTCTGTATGTTTGTCTGTCTTTATTTGTCTGTGTGTCTAGATGCGTATACCCGTATCTCTCTGTGTGTGCCTTGTGTGTGTATGTATGCATGTATTTCGGTGTCTGTATGAGTGTCTGTATGCCTTTATGTATATGTCTGTATAATTGTGTGTGTGTGTGGGTATATGTGTATTTCATGTATCTGTCCAAATATGTATGTATGCGTGCTCATTTATGCGTACGTGCGTATGTGTGCTTGTGTGCGTGAGTGTGTGATTTCGTGTGTATGTGTGTGTGTGTGCAAGTGTGTATGTGTGTGTGTTTGAGTATCAAGAAGCTATGCAGGTGTGGAAGAAAGGAGACATAAATAAAACGACAAATAACAGTTAAATTATACAGAAATAAAAATTAGTGGAATGAAAGTCGGATAGGCAGACTGATAAAACACGAAGGGGCAGACAGAAAGACAAGACACGGACGCTGATGTTCAACGAGACAGAAACCAGACAGAAATTAATCCAGAAAATAACGACAACAGACAGGCAGTCAGAATTACAGACAGTGGAAAGAAAGCAGACATGTCCACACACAAAGAAAGAGAGAAAAACAGACAGACAGACATTTGTCAAATTCATTTATTCAGGTCTATTTCATTCATTTTCTCACCAGGAATTAACAGCCAAAGGAAAGACCTTCACCTTCAAAGCAGTGCGTGCCTAACCACTATAAGCATCTCTACGTCTGAGCCAAATCTACCAATTCTACAGAACTAAATACACACATGAGACGCCACTCCTACCTTAGGATATTCGGCTCTCTTCATATCTTGTAATAACATTACTGTACCGGACGCGCGAATCATTGGGATCTTAACGGAATTAACCATTGCGGAGATAGTTTCGTGAAATGAATATCTGTGTCGAATAATTATTGCTAATCACATCATTAAGTGCAGCAAAGTATAGGTAAAATAAAATATAAAGTATACATTAGTGCAGCTTTAACATTCTGGTTGTTCCCATTGAATGATGCTTTCATTACCATAACCCCCCTTTCTAGTTGAAATTCTGCACTGTCACCAATAAACAAGTTGTGACAGAAATGTACGCTAATTGTGACCCAAAATTAACGAAACCAGAAAACGAAAAACAAATATTCATCAAAAAGCGAAATGTCCTGGGTTTTCGAGTTTCTTCCATTGATGAACTGACAAGGGAAACAATCTCAAAATTTCCGCGGACGCATTATTCGGGCTTGATAAGGGGGAAAAACTCTCTCGGCTGATGATGATACACGATAATATTACAGAAAACAAGCGGGAAATAATTCAAGAAAAAATACAACAAATAAACGGTTGGAGTTATTATTAACATCACTATTATCTTGTCCAGTTTTCTTTTCTGCAGTTGTGAGTGTGATGTTTGCATTAACATGTCAAAACCATTTTTAATGTATGCATAGGTACTCTACCACCCCGATGTGGGACACAATTTTCTGTTATTTAACAACCCCCCCCCCCTCCCCGCTTCCCCCCAACCCCACCTTCCCCTACTACACATTATATCGTTGGTAAGAGAATGGTATTTAATCTATTTTGAAACACAGTAGACAGGACATTAAGAGGCATACGATGGACTCCATTTAACATGCTTGAGGACCTTGATTTTGCAAATGAAATAGCACTCCTATCACATAAACATGAACATATACAAGAGAAAGGTAACCGACTACACTGCACAGCAGAAATGGTGGGACTGAGAATAAATACAAAGAAAACTAAGATCATGACAAACAGTCCAAACCAACAACCAGTGACCATAAGTAACCAATCACTTGAAATGTAGAACATTTCACATATCTTGGCAGTGTGGTGTCACTACTGGGGGGAAAAGGGGGGGGGGGGGAGGGACAGAGGAAGACATACAGTCACGCCTAAACAAAGCTAGAGCTGCTTTTGGAAGGATGAGGCACATCTGGAAATCCAACAATTACTGCAGAGGAACAAAACTCAGACTCTACAAGAGCATCATTTTGCCAGTTCTTCTTTATGGAGCAGAATGCTGGAGAATGACCAAAAAGGATGCACACAAGCTGTCCACCTTCCACCACACATGTCTACGTAGAATTATCAAAATTTTCTGGCCAGATACAATCTCAAACACTAAACTACTTCAAGCCACAAACCAAGAAACTCTAGACAGTATGATTACCAAGAGAAGATGGAAATGGCTTGGCCACGTTATGAGAATGACTTCTGATATACCTGCCAAAACAGCTCTCACATGGACACCAGAGGGAAAGAGAAAACAGGGGCGCCAAAAAACAACATGGAGACGAACGATGGAAAGTGACCTGAGTGCGGCATCTTTGACAAGGAAAACTGCACTGAAGATTGCACAGGACAGGAAAGCATGGAAAGTCCTCTCTGACGCCTCATGTGCCACTAGGCATAACGAGAATTGATGATGATGAATATTGCCTTGCGGTCGAACACTGTTTCTAGAATCTCTCCACGGGTAATCTTTATCCGCATGGTGGCACTTTGTGTCAGCGGATTTTTATCGCTTGGTGGATGTCCTGGTTAAGTTTATTCCGTTTCAACAGAAGACAGCCTCGCTAATATAACCTAAGGTTGAACGGGGATTTTGTGACTTGCACCTGTGTGATTCTCGTCTAAATGGTGGCACTTTGTGTCACCGGGTGTTGTTCACTCGTTGTGCGGTCCTGGTGGGGTTTAACGTCACTCATTCCTACACCACGCACTCATCGTTTAACAAAATCCAACCGCACAAGACTACAAGTTACCTGGTAACCGGTTTGTGGTGCCCTAATATAGATGTGCCGTATGGGTAACCCGTTTTCCAGATTAGCATTACAAATCTGGAAGGGTAAAACTAAAAGTAAAATAAATTATTACCATTAACAGAAAAGAATACCCCCACCTGGCCACAACTATGAGGTTGAACAGGGTATCCTGTGATTTTTTTCTGCTCGATTACCATCCGCATTGAAGTAGCAGCGCTGGTCAAACCTTTATGATGCAGTTGGTTAGACGCGTATCCTTTACAGGACGTTGCAGAACCAACCCCAACAGCCTCTGGTCGTTGTGTGGTTTTTCTAGGCAAATTTACGTCCAGTAGTTTGCCATTGCTTTTTGGACAGAAAGGAAAAAAAATAAAGGAGAGGGTTAGTGTTGTGTTGATTTCTTGTTTAGAGACTTCAGTTCAAACCTTACCCTATCAAACGATCCAAAGGGTGGGGGTTGTCATGTGCCAAAAACAATGAGAAAGAAGGACGCCAAAATATGGACAACAATCACCATAGCTAAGAGCGCTATGACTTGAATGAGTGTACACGCAACAAACGGATGGGGAAAGAAGAAGAAGAGAAGGACACAGCGATGATGATGTTGACGATAAATAGGAAGAAATAAAAAGTAGAGAATTAGAGGAGGCGAAGGAAGGAGTGAAGGCGTAGAAGAAAAAATACTGACGTCACAGCACTCAGGGTATACCCATACGTGCTCCATCTTAACTAGCAGATGTCGTTGTGCCCGCACCTAGAATTATGAAACCAAAACCCCAGAGTCTAGGTGACTGAAAAATTATCTGTGTGTGTTTTTGCATCTTTTTGTGATGAAACAGCGTGTCATTTAATCTAACAGTCTGTGTGTCTATGTATACATTGATCTGCTTGTATGATCTGAAATTGTGTTGACATTGTACTCACTTTAAATCTTTGTGTCTTCATTACATTTTTATGTTATTCTTTCCTCGTCTTTGTTCTTTCCTATTGTTTCTTCTCTATGTCCTCTTCTCTGTCTAAGATGTCAAGTTCCGGAAATCACTTGCCCCTCATTAATTGTTGCTAAAGTAAAAAACAGGCATGGACAAAGTTCAAACCTCCACACAAGCTGAAGGGGGCAAAAGTTCCATCCCCACGTTGAGGGGAAAATGACACGCCAAATTGGCAAACCCAGTTTTGGGCCCATCTGTAATTAACGTTTGTCTTAGATATGGCACGGCCCTCGGCTCCTGGCATTGTCCGTCTGCCAAAGAGCCGGCAAATATTTGGCTGGCGTGTAGAGGCAATTTGGCTGTTTTCTGCTAATGGAACAGGACCATAATTAAAATCATGAAGACACGAGCCATATAAAAAGGATAGGGAAGAGAGACAGAGAGAGAAAGAGAGAGGGGGAGGGAGGGGCGGGGGGGGGGCGGAGGTATGGGCCAGTGAGGATTTCCGGACATGCGCAGTAGAAGTTCTGTGTCAAGTAGACTACGTATAACATCACGAACAGAAAACAGGCGCCCACATGAGTGGTCGTTGATCGGTGGAGTTGACCAGTAGATTAGACCAATATAGACCAATAGATCACACCAACAGAGTAAACCAATAGAGTAGATCAAAAGAGTAGATCATTAGACTAAATCAATAGACCAGTAAACAATTTAGAAGACAATATATACAGAAGAATGCTTAGAATACCTTGAACAGCAAAAAAGAGCAACCAAGAGGTTTTGAAAGAGCCGGGAGCCAGAAGACAACTTATCACAGACATCAGAAGGAGACAGTCATCATTTTTCAGCCATGTTATGAGAAGAGGGAAAATAAAACATGTTGTGACCACTTGAAAGATCTGTGGAAGGAGGGATAGAGGAAGACAACGAGAGAAGATGCTTGACAGTCTTGTTGCATGGCATGGAGGTGTGTCGGCACACGAACTGATACACGCTGCAGGAGATCATGGATTTTGGAGAGGCATGATCGCCCACGCCAGTCGGCAAGGCACCTGATGATGATGATGATGGTGATGATGATGATGATGATGTTTGTTGGTTGTTTCTCACTATTTTGAAAACATATACTTTGAACCAAACCTTATATTTTGTTTTCTGAATGCATCATAAATAATAACATTTTTAACATATTTGTCAAAGTTCGAAACGGGCTATAGTCAGGATGGCCGAGCGGTCTAAGGCGCTGCGTTCAGGTCGCAGTCCACTTCTGTGGGCGTGGGTTCAAATCCCACTTCTGACACTTTTTTTTTCTATGCTGTTAAATTGCTTCTGGTATGGGAACTGTAGACTTTTTAGACACGAGTGACACCATCTACTTAACTTTATTCAGTGTGCTCAAGTTCTGTCTTGTACCATTTAAGTAAGTAAAGGACCCTTTTCAACACCTTTCATGCCTGCTGGGTACATAGGGCTAGACCTATATTTTTAGACCAAACGTCACTTGGTGGGTGATGTTGTCAGCAGCACGCCGGCTGCCTTTACTTTCCAGGAATGTACCTGGTAATCACTCAAGACTATGTTGACCTCGGAGCTGAAGTCATTTAAAAAAAAAAAAAAAAACGGCCCTCGTCAGGAACTACCTTCCGATCCGCAGGCGAGCGACTAGCCGTTAGACGACGGCGGCTTCCTCTGTAAGATATACTTTGATCAATTTTTTCAACATTTTCACGAAATTTGTCGTCTTCCGTTCTTCTTATTGTCATGTCAATATTGGCAATGGAACCCTCGCCTCTAGCCTTGCATCACTCTTTTTTTTTTTTCTCCTTTCTGTCTTTACCTCCTCTTCAGCTTGTGACGTGTCTGAATTTACTGCTTTGTAATGCGAACACTTTGTAATACCGGGATGCCAGGTTCGATCCCAGTTGCGGGCTATGCGCCTTGCGTTGGTTTCGCCAGTGGTATCAAGAAAGCCGACCGCCC